TGGAATGCTTTGGAGTGTACTATGATAACCCGAAGATTATAGATCTTTCTAAAATTTAGAATGCTAGACATCTATGGAGCAAGAATTAAAAACAACCAAACAAAAACAAGTCAACAACACATTCCTGGATAATCATTCCCAAGGACTGCTGACAGTCTTTGGCATGCTAGAGTCAACCAAGTCTTTGAATACTTGGGAATTTCCAGAAGATGAGAATGACTTAATGTTATGCCACTATTAAGAAGAACAAGTGGGATGACTACCCCCAGTAAACAGCTAGAAAGGCAAGAGAAACAGAATCACTTGAATGCCACATGCTTTTATTCTTTACAGCATCCTTCTAAAGTGAAAGACATGCTTGATGCATTTGGCTAGTAAAAACAAGCCACAGAGACTTTTCTGAAGTGTGCATCTTGGTACTGCATGGAGATGCCAACTGACAAAAAATCATCACTATATAGTGCCACTGTATAGGGCCTGTTAAATAGATCAAGAACTGGCTAATCAAGGTATGTCAAGAAGATTCTCCAGCTCAACATCTTCTGGGAAGTTTTATTCAGATTTTACTTGTGTCAAATTACTGGAGCATGAGGGTGATATTTAGTGGCCTTTGATGGACAGATGACTAAACTAGAGACTTAAAAGGTCCTTTCTTGTTCAAGTCAATGCATCAATAACCATTTCCAAATGAAGAGAGAAAGGGAAATTGCAAGACTTTTTTTTTTTTTTTTTTTTTAAACCAAAAAAGTGTTCATGGGCATCCTGACTAGAAAATTTCTAGCCATTCAACATCCAGGCAGGATCAGTGTCTAGAGGACAACACTCCTAGGTACTCACCTATACAGCAGTCCCTTGTCTCTGAAATTTCAATTCAGACTGATTTGGAATCATTCTCCCACAAAAATCTGCAATTATATTTGTCAACCCTGACTAGTTTATAACCAGAAACCTTTAATAGCATACAGCCTGGAATAGCCATGTTCCAACATTAAATGGGAATTCCTATGGGGAAAATTCACAGGGAAGAAAGCCTGGCCATAAGACTTCCACTTATTCTGACCAGTTCTTCAGTCCCTTTCACCACAGACTAAAGCAGTCAGGCTTATCATAGCAGATTTTGTATCTGCTTATCATAGCAGATACAAACATTTAAAACAGCAATTAAAGAAGCATAAAACAGTGACACCCCACACAGGCACCAACTCATCCTCCCATCTGCTTCTGATGGGCTGTATGGTATGGTAAGCCCTGACTTTTGAGAATCAGGTAAGACATAGCTAGAAGGAACCTCAGAAGGTCAATAAGCTCTAACCAAGGTAAGGTTCTCTCTGGTGGGAAGTGTTATAAAAATCACCGAACCAGGGGAGAACAAAAAGCTACCTCAACAAACAGCTGACATCTAAAAACTAACTACAGGACCTAGTGCTCTTGGCAAAATCAGTTACCATGACATCCACTAGGAGAATAACAGTGTACAGACAGTTCAGCATGTTTACCAAAAAGTTGCTGCTGAAGCTCTAAACATATAGAGAAAGTGGAGAAGCCAGTTTGGCAGAGAGGATCTTCTTGATTTGCTGCTCACAAAACTAAAGAGGAATCAGAGACTTAAGGTCAAAGATGACAGTGACAATAAAACCTGACAGATCAAGATCCTAAGAAAAGGAAAGAGCAGAGCAGCAGAAAAAGCAAAGTAACAAACTAAGGGGACTAGTGGGTAGGCTGCTACAGGAGGCAAGTTGAGGGAAAAACAGGAGTCCAGGAGAACTGGCTGTACTGTGGGGAAGCAATATTAAAAAAATTCAAAGGTTGGCTATTCTGAGGCCAAAAAAATGTAAGTGCAGCAAGGGATAGGCACTATTTTGCCCTTTGCCAAAGAGTCTTGCTCTGTAGCTAGGCCTATCTATAAGAAAGGGGAGGAAAGAAGATGCTTTTGGGAACTACAGGCCAGTTAGTCTGACCTTCAAACCTGAAAAAGGTCATGGAACATGTTATCAGGGAGTCAATTTCTGAGCATTTAGAGAAGGTGATCAGGAACAGCCAGGAGCAAGTCATGCTTGACCAACCTGCCCTTCTCCTATTAACAAAGTGATGAGGTTTGATTTGTGGGGAAGGAAGGGAAAAAAAAGTTAGTGAATGTGATGTAGTTGGACTTCAGCAAGGCTTTTGATGCCATCTCCTATGACATTCCATTAATAAGTAAAGAAATACACTTTCTAGACAAAGGTACTATAACAAGTGGCATATGCAACTGTTGGATCATCACGCTCAAAGATGAGTTGCAATGGCTTACTGTCCAATTGGAAAATATTGACTGGTATTCCTCAGGTCTGTGGTGGTCTGGTACTGTTTAATATCTTCATCAAGAATTTGGAAGATAGGACCAAGTGCACACTTCAGATTTGCTGTCATGAAATGGGGTGGAGTTACAAACATTCTGGAGATTAGGATTCAGAACTGCCTTGAACTAGAAAAGGGGTCCAAAAAGAAAAAAAATCAAGTTAAATTCAATAAGGTGTAAAGCTCTGTACTTGAGACTGAATAAAAACTGCATGTACAAAATACAGCTAGGGGAAGTGACTAGCTAGGCTGCAGTACTTCAGAATAGGACCTAGGGGTTATAGTAGACTGCAACCTGAATGGAGTCAACCACATGTTCTTGTTGCAAAACCAAGAGCAAGCTAGGCTGTATTAATAGGATTTTTTTAAGCCAGTGCAGAACAGAGCAGGAGTACTATGCTCAGTTTGAAGCTCTACTTTGAAAGAATCCAGTAGAACAACAAAAAAATGGATTAGGGAGCCTGGTAAATAAGCTTATAAGAAAAGATGGGGAGAACTGGGACTGTACAATCCAAAGAAGAGAAATTGAGGCATCCTTCCCTATGTATAACCTGATGTAGTGGGGAGATTTGTTTTCCAGTAACCTTGAAGGCTGTGCTGGTAGAAGCAAACATCTTGCTAGGGTCACTCGTGTATGAAGCAGAAAGGGCAGGAACCCGATGGGAAAAAAAGCCAGTCTACTGGACCTCCTGGTTGTGGGGTTGAATAATAAGTTATAGATAGTCACAAACTGTCAGTAAAAATTAGCCATTCCAACAACTAGAATAGACAGGGACAGCAAAGCTGCATACCTAATCTATGCCTGCCAGCCTGAAGGATTTATATTTATACTTGCTCCATTAATAGCCCTAAGGAAAGGTTTCAAATACTTAACTACAGAACAATGGTTGCTAGTAGGCATTAAAACCCCCAACAAGCCACACTTCACTGGAAACAGCATGTAGACATTAAAAACCCCAACAAGCCACACTTCACTGGAAACAGCAGCGCGTTACTTTGACCCAGCTCCACAGCATCTGTACAAACTGGACACTTTATTGGGAATTTTGGGTGCCCATTTAAAGCTGATTCAATCAGCTACTAGATAAAAGGACCAAAAGCACACCACTAAAGTGCCCCATCTAGACAGATGCTGGGACAACCAGGTCCAACTAATGAACTGCCTCTTCTGGGCATGTGCTGGGTTTGGTGGGGGAATGCACAGGGTTTGAAGTAAAGCTCTGTTTTCATTTGTGTTTGTTTGTTTGTTTGGGGGGGGTTAAGTCTGCAAGCAGCCAACTTTTCCAAAACATAAGAGCCAATAAGATATCTTCAGTTTCAGTTTCTACTACTTGGGTGAAAGAAGGTTCTTCAGAGGTTAGCTAGGCTTAAGATAAAAACAATAGTGTGTTCCACGATGAATCCATCATGCATCTTACTGTAAGCAGTTCTGGTCAAAATCTCAAAAAAGGATATGCTAGAACTATAAAGCTGACTTAAGAGGAAAAAGGCAGGATTCCTTACGACAGGCGAGTTGGGGGGGGGGGGGGGGGGGGGGGCACCCAAGGGGGGAGAGCACGACACGATGACGACGAACTCTAGTTTGGAGAGACAGCCAAGGGAGGAGGAAGATGAGGCTATGAAATCAAGAACAGCATGGAAAAAGCAAATAAGGAATTGTTACTTACTGTGCTTCATCATACAAGAGCTATCAGGCATCTGATGAAGTTAATCACTCAGCAGATTTAAAACAAACTGCTTTAGGCATGGATAGAATGGTATACAACTGGGTTCAAAGAAATCTAAAAAAAACCATATATACAGCACAGACCTCAAGTGCTATTAAAAGTTCAGGGATGTACCCTACTGCTGGCGACTGGCGGGGGGGTGGAAAAGACCGGGGATGACCACTCCATACATGCATCATTTCTAGTACCAATTCTTCTTTGTGATTTTTTTTCTGCCACTGTTGGAGATAGCTACATTAGGGTCAGACCAGAGGTTTGTAGCCCAGTAGTAGCCTGTTCTTGCTGAATTAGTTAAGTTCAAGAGAGCCTAGGTGAATGTGTTTGTACTGAGCATATATTTAAAAGTTAGTGTTAGGACCTTTCAATATAATATTCTTCATGAAAAAAGATGCATAAAAAAAGCAAGCATGCAGAACTCTGGCTTCTCTTACTATAAAACTTGCAGGATGTTTTAGGTAGGAAATTGATTTAATATGTAGCCAGGCACTAGATATAGCAGTATTTTATAACTAGTACTGGTTAAGAGAATTTGTAGTGAAGTTTCAAATGTTTGCTATCAAGCAAAACAGCTAAACAGTGTACCTACTAAGCACCTAGTCAAGGAATCCCTCTATTCCACATCTTATTCATTAGTCCTGGTCTTGATTAGGCTGTCAGAAGTTCTTCTCTTCCTTTTTCTTTTGAAGGAATCATTTGTCAGCCAACATGGGCTGACAGATTACACTGTCAAAGCATACTAGAAAAAAAGATACTAGAAGAGTCACTGACTATTTTACCAAAAAAAGTGCTCTTCGTACCTGCAAACCTGATTTTCCAATAAATGTAGCTTGGGAGCAAATCTACCAGTTTCTCATTAAACACTAAAGCGCAACCAAGCCATGACTGGAGAACTTCATTGCGCAGGAAGCTACTGAAAAGCAAAAAGTCAACCCTTACCTTCTGAGAATATGGTATTCCAGAATAATCTCTACTGGGGAATTGCAGCTGGCCATAGTTACCATTAACTATGGAAGGTGATCCTCTGTAAGCATCAAAACCTATTCAAATACAGAACTTAAAATGAAAAATCAGTTTACCACTCTAGGATCAAAATAAGATTTTCTTCCCTTTAGGCATCAGTTCAACTTTAAAGCAGTTTATGAAAATGCATACATATAATTTACTCCTTACCATTTCAGAACAGCTTAGTTTTGAATTCAAAGAATTGCCTAAAATTGATGTTTGAATTACAGTTCTTTAATAGCACATTTTAATTTATCTTAAATACAGAAATTTTAAAAAAAGGAATTACATTAGTCTTAGTTCATGAATACAATAAAATACTCCCATGTCTAGGTGTTACAGTCAACACTAGTCTTCCCACAAAAGAAAGGGTATGTTGTCAGAGGTGCAGGATTTTAATCCTTACTATACACCTAATGTAGAAGGGAGATTTATGCCAAGGATGTTATATTGATACAAGGGCTGCAGTTGTTTTATTAAAGTGTTAGGTGCTGCTACTACATTCATGTTTGCTTTATAACAACAAATGAGCACAATCAGCTACTGGTAACAGCAAAAGCAAAGCAATACCAGGACCTCAACAGGCTCCTTCAGAGCAACTACAGAAGAGTCAGCCTTTTCAAACAGATTAGAAATGTGTAATTTATTGCGCTTCAGGAGACTGAACAGGGTGCCCATTGTGTCAACCCCTTATAGGGCCATGCTCTAGTTAAAGGTACTAAATACCCTTCAGGCTAGCACTGGCCCAAAAGACGACCTCCTCCTCCAGTTCTCTCCACTATTGTAAACAGCCACCAATTTGCAACTAGTTTAACACTTATCAGGAAGAAGTTTGTCTGCTTGCAGACAGACAACACAGTATAGCCCTTCCTATACTTTGCTCTCCCTGCCTCCATTGCCAAACAGGTGGCTCACTAATATCCATCAGAGTCACTACATGAACCCCCACTCCATCACTGTTGTTGAGCCTTTTTTCCCTCTACACTTGCGGTTGCTACCAAATGCTAATGGAACCAGGATAGGGAACATGTTGCTTGACCATCAACCTCAATATAAGTCTGAAAAGGTGGTTTCCCTCTGCCTCAAGAGAGACATGGGAGACATCCATATTCCCACATCCCTTTGAGTCGAAAGAAGTACCTGAAGCTAGAGAATGAAAGTGAGAATCTGAAAAGGTTCAAGAGGAAGTACAGTGGAGTCGCATCTTACGTGGGGGTTACATTCCAAAGTCAGAGTGTAAGGTGAAAAATCAGTGACTATACACCGGGGGGGGGGGGGGGGGGGGGGGGTCCCTCGCACCAGCTTGAGTTTGCACATGGCGCCATGCTTATAGCTGCATGGTCGGTGGCAGCGGCACAGCACAGGGTGGTGGTGGGGGTGGCTGCATGCCGCCTGGCCACCACCATGCTGCTGCCGCCGCCTGGCAGCCAGCCACACAGCTCCAGGCACGGCTCCATGGGAACAGCGGGAGGTTTTGGAGGCAGTGACCGTCACCACCATAATGGGCCTCCAGGTAAGCGGCAGCGCCACATGCAAACTCAAGCCCCGCGCGCCCCCCCCACCGCGTATAGTTGAATTTGGGTAAGTTAAATGCGCGTTATGATGCGAATGACCTGTACCCAAATACAGATGGGAGTGGGGACGCACCCAGAAAGAAAAGGATACATTTGTAAAAAGGTAAGGCATACACAGGGGAGGCAAACTTAAAACTCAATTAGCACACAGAATTGGGCTTTCATGAACATCTTGTTTCTCAAATCCTGTCTCTGACTTGATTAACAGGTACTGGGTGCACTCTGACAAGACTGAAGCAGTTTATTGCCAGTGAACCTTTATATCTCACTCCTAGATTTTAGCCATAAGAGTATGTTAACCTTCACCACAGAATTAGTCCAACAGTTTTGTTCTAGTCTGCTGTGTGGCAAGCTCTAATGTCGCCTTTAAAGTACTCCACTACCCATTACTAGAAATGCTAAATGAAACATTGCAAGAGGCAAGGAATTTAGGGCAATATCTTTTATTGAATCAACAGCATAACTAGAATAGAGTTAAGCAAGCTTTTGAATGCAAGACATTTTTCATCATTAGTATATACTGTACTAGTTTCTTTTGGGTTAAGACAATTTTTCCTCCTACTTCTATATCCCCCTACCTCCCCAGGAATTTATCCTTTCCATAAGTAGGTTAATAAAAAAAAAAAATATACATACCTTTGTATCCACCAGGGGAGCGGTACAAATTGGCTAGTGATCTCCCACCTCTGGTAGATCCTCTAACAGACCCACGACTGTTGAGATAAGGCTGAGCGGGTCTGGGGATAACATTAGTCTGTGCTGGGTAAAAGGCAAGACTACCATTGCTGACAGGAACAACTCCATCAGGCTGATAATTAACTGTTTAAGACAAAAAGCACAGATGAATTAAAGTTTAGATATAGCAATTCATTATAGCATTTACTTCGTAAGTTCTCTGTACTAAAAGCTTAAAGTTGGATTTGGTTACCCTTAATCCACTAAACAGTTCCATTTTATTTCCAGTCCCAGAGAGTTCTTCTCATTAATGCTATAGAAGTCTGATCCATGCTTTCCCCCCCACTGACCCAATGTAAGCAGCACAAGTACTATACTGCTAAACCCTCGCACAGAAAATTGGGATCAATCAACATTGCACAAATATGCAGAGGGAAAAACATAGTATACAACAAGACAGAATGGATTATATTCAGTAGGTCAAGTTTATCCACTTTTTGAACAATGAGCAGGTCATGGAATAGGAGCCCGAAGCCTGATCCGTCCTGTAGAGTATACTGTGTATACACTTTACCTTCTGCAGCACAGGAGTTCAGCACTGACTGAAGGTCAGTCTGGTTAACATACAGCAAGCCAAGTTTCCTTTAAAGTCAAGTCAGTTCTACTTGGTGCAAGCCCTACATTGCTAGTAACAAGTATTCCTGCTAAAAGTTTCCTGGTACTGATAGATCACCATTAAAAAGGTTTCAGAAATTGTGTAGCCAAACTATGAAAAACACTTTAATATACAGACATTTTTACTATGAATCACTGGTGTTACTGGAATGACTTTAGGACTGCAAAAGGATTACATGGCATAATACCCTGTATCAGTCCTCTAACTTAAAACTGAGCTGGAAGTGGAAACCCACGTTAGATGGCATTTTGGGGGGGGGGGGGGGGAAGAAGCAGCACAGCACCAAAGTTCCCCCTTGTTTGTGGATTGTGTTCATGACTTTTTTTTTTGTTTGTTTGTTTTGTTTTTTTTAAGTTTCCATAGCCATCACCATTTCCCTTGAAAGTTGGTTCCAGATCCTAGCGGCCCTGACTGATGTAGTGCCTTCTAATGTCTAGTCTAAACCTACTCTCTAGCAACTTATGGCCATTATTCCTTGTTACTCTGGGAGGCGCTCAGGGGAACAAGGTCTCTCCCAAACCCTGCGGGTCCCCACTAGTAAGTTAATAGATGGCCACCAGGTCCCCCCTCAGCCTTCTCTTGCGAAGGCTGAACAGGTTAAGGTCCCGTAGCCTCTCCTCATAGGGTCTGCCCTGCTGTCCCCAGATCATGCGAGTGGTCCTCCTCTGGACCCTCAATGCTGTCCACATCCCTCCTGAAGTGTGGCACCCAGAACTGGACACTACTCCAGCTGCAGCCTGACCAGCATCGTATAGAGGGGGAGGATCACCTCCTTGGCCCTGCTTGTGATGCACGACAAGGTACGGTTATAGCCCTACTGACTGCATTCTTGCATTGTTGACCCATGTTCATCTTGGAGTAAATAATGACTCCAAGATCTCTTTCTGCCACTGTGCTTTTGAGAAGGGAGTTCCCAGCTTACAGGTATGCTGCTGGTTCCTACTGCCCAACTGCAGCACCCTGCACTTGTCAGTATTGAATCCCAGCCTATTTTCATTTGCCCACCCCTGTAACCTGTCCAGGTCCTTTTAAGTGGCTGGGAATATTAGTACTTGGCCGATTTTTAGATAGACAATAAGCTCCCATTTAGTCTTTTAGCTTAAAGCAGTAGTGCTCAATTTTTTGCCCTGGCAGGCCAGATGGGTAGTATCCAGTCTGTCCACAGGCTAGATCTGGCCTGTGATCCCAATCTGGTGCCTGGAGCAGGTGCAGTCAGGCCCCATCCAGCCACAGGGAAAGGGGCAGGCTGCAGCCAGGACCTGTATGGGGAAGGGGGCTTGGCCCAGCTCAGATCTCTCTCAAAAGGTTTGGGAAGTCTGGTAGTGGGGAAGGGTGGCAGTATTAGTTGTTATGGCTCCCCCGCCCCCCACCAAGTTTTCCTGACCTGTGGGGAACCCTTCAGGACAGATGCCATAGCTTTGTAGGCAAGAGGTTTAAGCCCCCTTGCTTAAAGTGTTTAGACTCAGAAATTAAAGCATCAATCTGCTCACATTTGTTGCTGGCTCACAAGATAAGAGCATGGTGCTTAAACCATATTTTATTGGTCCCTAAATGCATGTAATACTAGAGCATCTTTGTCTTTGCCCAAATCGGATTTATGGTGGAATTCTCATTAAACCAACTGAAACCAGATTCTACATTGTATATCCGTTTGTCTAGCTTCCACAATGTACTTCCAACTTCTTCCCCCTCCCTGTCAGACCCTGCTGTTCCTGACCACATGAAAGTGAGGGATAAATTTGAAGAGAGTGACTTTGAAGTAAATATGCCCGTAGTTTGAAACAGGCACACAGACAAGTTACTCTGAGTACTCATAGTTCATCTAAAATTGATGCATTTTATATCTTTTGAAACTGCTGCAAGTTGGCACAAATTTGCCACGACTACACTTAAGCAGCATTTTTTAGTACCTACATATATAAATACTAATTATGCATGATATTAGTCCAAAGCCAAAAAGCTCATGGTTCATTAGGCAGTTGATTGGGCTGGAACATGACAGTCCAGTGTTTCAAGCCATAGTAACACCACAGCTCAGCACTTCAGTATGCATGTACCCTAGGATATTCCAAAAGAAACTGTGCGCTAATTATCTCCCCATTTATGACAAGAACATCTGGTTCCAGTCACAAGTCCTGGGATCCTCCAACAGTACGTGCAGATGAGGTACACGGCAACCTAGTCCAGTTTTACCTCACGGAGGGTGGGGACACTAATCATAAGCATCACGCAGAGAGGAGACACCAGGGCTGCTGGGTGAATTGTTTGGGGCCCCCTTTGGTTATGTTTGCCAGACATTTAAGGCTGGGGAAGAAACACGACTCACTGGAAAAATGGGAAAGAAAGATGCAGCTTAACTGTGGGAGTGAAAAGGAAATCAAAGTGCGCGCAACGTAGTGGCTCACTATGACTTGAAGAGTCAATGCTGAGGGGGACTGCATGCAATGGGTACTACTACACCTTATTCAGATGGGCTGCACTACCTTATTTGTGGTAGGTTCCCCATCAGCACGTTTACCCCATATAGTCCCTGTATTTTATAGTCATGATCTGTGCTGACTGCATTTAAATCAACTTCATAGTTGGTTTCCACTGCTAAGCACATGCTGTTTTTGGTTGGAGTTTAATGACTGACATTGTAGTTAATTAGGTTTCTTTGTACATAGATGTAAGACTAAGCATTTCTCCCCTCCTCCCATACTGATTAGGGGAACCTCCTCTTATACTTGAATAAATATGGTAGCTCATCTATTAAAAGGCGTTTTGTAAACACTTGAAGTGCAGTTCTGCTGTGAAGAGACTGTAGAGTTACAGCTGCTTGCTCCTGCTTTTATTCAAGCAAGCTTGTTCAACTTTAAAAAAAAAAATCAGTAAAAAAAAAAAGTTTAGACTACTAGCTCTGGGTGGGGTATAAAAACCAAGTTATGCTCTTCACAAAATTATGAGAACTGGAGCTTTAAATTGCAGTCATGTGTATAATTAACAGCATGAAGATTCAGATGTATTTGCTCATTTACTCCATTCAAGGGCACAATGGATAAATTACTATGAAGAAATAGAAAAGATTTTCTATTAGCTACTTAATACACCCATTGAAAGAAGTCAGCTGATTAGCAGATCAGTTTGACACTCCCTCTGCAAACTGAAGTGACACTAAAAATATAGCCATATACAAGCAGGTCTCTTTACCTGTTGGCAGAGATTCTTGTGAAACTGAGTTTTGCTCTGCAGTATGAGTAGACTGTAACTGGCATTGAGGAGGAGTTTGTGTACTTGCTGTAGAAAAACTCTGGTTATAACCTGCAGTGTATGAAGAGTCTTCTTTTATTTCCTGCTCTTTACGTGGAGGCAGAGGTGCATTCACTTTGAATACCTGGAAAAAAAAAATGCAACGTTAGCAAAATATTGAAGAGACTATTCTTTACTTGGATACAGAAAGACTCCAGCTAGGTGCATTAGGGTTCTACTGTGCTAGGCCCCGTGTCAAAAGCTAGCACAGGAAGCATCTAAAATGCACAAATTAGGAGAGAGGAACAAGTACTCTTAGGTTTACAGACTGGACACAGACTTCTGACTGAAGTCACTTAGCACAACCTGGAATTTAGTTCAGATTTCTGGATTCCTGGCTCATGGGAGCACCTCCCCTCTTCATCTTCCCTCCCATCCTACTTTAAAAACAGACTATTACCAGAAATACTTGACCAAAATGTTCTGTATACTTAAGTTCTAGCCAATAAAAGCACAGCACAACTTCAGGTACCAGTTTGACTACTGGGATCCCAGCAGCATCCTGGATTAAAGAATTTACTTGGGAGTCCTGAACACATGCATCTTTTAGGCCTTTACCACCACAAGTATGTTCTAACCAGAGCAGCCACTTCTAGAAAAGCACAGCATAAGTGGGTAGTACTTCCAGGATTGCTACCAACACATGCTGAGGCTTGGTGCTATTGCTGTTAAAGCCCCTTTCAACAGCTTTTAGTATTATGCTAAAAAATGCCACCGGTGCTGCATTCAGCAAGTCGAGCTGTTCAATTAGTTACACCAGACTAAGAAAACACCTTCAAGTCTACCCTCTGACTAGCTGCATGCCAGGTATGTATTTACAATATTAAATGTTGGAAACTATTTGGTTTACCGAAAGGAAAACCAATGTGCTTTGTGTATAGAAGGCAAGCCATATACTGCATATAGAAAACAAAACCGTTTGTCATCCATACGAAGTTGTCATTTTTTTGGTATCAAAGCACATAGGCCAATTTCAGGCTGGGAAAGGCTGAAAGCAAGAATAAGTCACAGCACAAATGAGCTGTACAACAACTCCAAGGAGAACCAGTCAAGGACGTTCTACTATGGAGAACTGGAGGCAAAAAAGCTTGGGTAGAAGTACTCAACTGTGCAAGACCTAGGCCCAGATCACTGATGCATAGTTAGCATTTGATACTTGACTTCAAACTTCAGAATGTGCGCTCAAGCTAGTTTTCAGTTCACCATGACCATTTCAGGGCAATTCTGGGATATCTGACCATTTCACAGAACACTAGTAGAATTTGTCTCAAGGATCATAGTCCTAATTTTTCTGCACTTCTCTCCTGTATTAATTACTCATTATCTATTTGAATAGAAAGAACTATCATATCTATATTACACAACCAGTAAGAGGTTCTTCCAAATTTTTATGCATGGATTCTGGTGTTTAAGAAGCAGTTTGCTTATAGTACAAGAAGGTGCCATCCTGCTGTTCAACCTTCCTAAAGCAGGCATCAGATTTGGGAGTCTCTACCAAAGGATAGTGTTTTGCAAGTGTGATTGCACTTACTCACATAATTCAGAAAGTTTGGGCATACCCCAATCAGGCAGGAAGGCCAGAATCTCTTCTACCCTTTGGACTGGCCCCTTCAGCAATCTAACCATAAAGAAAAAAAGCGCTTTGTATAGAAGGGCAATGTATAAGTATTGTTGCTAGACAGACCATGACAGAACCAAGTGAAAGTTCAAGTTTTCAAGAGTGGTATAACCCAATAATGTTGAAACCAGTACTACAAAGGAAACTGCCAATATAAGAACTGCACAAATAAAAAGCCTCTTCCACTTTGTTTTAAATTTATTTGAGGCTTTCCTGATTTGGAGCAGAAGGTTTTGAATTTTAGATTAAGATGTTTCAAAGGACTGACAGCTCCCAGGCTGCAAGAGGCCATGATGAAATAAAATTTGGGTGTAGGATATAGCCAGTTTGGAAGACAGACAAGCAGTGACAGATCTATTAAAAAAAAAAAACTCAACAAGACTGAAATACCAGAAGAACCCAACCCATCCCAGGACTACCATTTATAAGCATCTTATCAAATTTCCTCAGAACTTATGAGGGTTAAAGATAAATGGTTATCAGTCCTTGTCTCAAAGGATAAGATATCTACTGGAGAGAAGCAGTTTGTATTTGTTCCATTAGTCTACTTTTGAAATATACTGCGAACACTAGGCCCTTGACTGAACACTTGCTTGCAGACTAAGACCCACAGGCAGCATGTGGAGCTGAAAGCTATGGCACCATAGGCTGAATCCCACCAACAGGCCATACTTTTGATACCATTAATATGAAATCCTGACTTCAAAAGTAGTAAAGAGATGGTTACCAAAAGGATGAAGAAAACAACTCTTAAGCAGCCGTCAGGATTAAAACTGGACTCAAATACAATATTAAGCTTGGCAGGCTGTATTGTAAAATTGTATAAACAGAAGCAACTGTGGGTTCATTACTAGTAAACTTCTACTTCCAAGTGGCTCCAAAGACCTGAGGCTGACGGTAATAACAAGCAAGGAAACAATGCAAAGGAAGACTTGTCTTAGTCTGACAAGAACAGTCCCAAGAGAACAGATACCTTAGCATTCTTCAGTGAAGAAAGGACCTCACCCATTGTAGAATTAGAGTTCACCACCCACAGCAAGAAAAGGCCCCAGCTGTGGCCTGGACCTCCCAGACTAGGGCCAGCAAGCTTCAGGTCACAAAGGTAGCCTTGTATGCAACACTGTCAGATAACTTAGAGCTGATGGGATGTTTAGAGAGACCCCTGTGGAAGTGGTAAGAAAAAAATCAAAGACCTCATCAAGCCTATAGCAGAATCAAAGCAGCCAATTAATGAAAGATGTTTAAGAAATGTCACTTCACTGGCAAGAGGAACAAGTCCCCTCCCCTTATACAAACATTCCTCCTTAAAATCACTTGTCTTTCCAAGTTTAGAAGTGCCTCAGACTTGGCTAGGCTAGACTACATTACTTTCGCAAAAGAGATCCTAACCGAGGATGAACAGAAGATGCAGGCCTGCAATAACTTGGCTGCACATCCCAAAAACAGCTGAGCTGAAGCTGATAAGAAAGCTGTATCATGAGGTACTAAACTACATCTAAGAAAGGATTTCTTAGGGTGAGTAGTCAGACATGATAAAGAAATGTTTTGCATTTGAAAGTTCGTTCAACTATCCCAACTACGCAATTGGTCCAATAAAGGATTACACCCTAAGAAATCTGTGCCTTTTCATTTTTTTTTTTTTTTAAAACATTTTTTCTTCTTGCCCCTGGGGTAGGGAGTGGACTCAAAGATCTTCCAAGACCCCTTCCAGCCCTAATGTCTATGAAATCTATGAACCCCAGGTAGTTCCTTGCTAGTTAAGTTCTCTCAAGGCTCCTTCCACAGGGTACCACAATAGGAATCTGCTAGAAATAGTTTTAGGAGGGCTGCTCTAATTTATCAAATCTGTTTAAAGAATGCAGAATATGGTCTCTCTTTCCTCTAGAAAAGATAACTAGACCATCTATCATTAACAGCACTGAATCTTCATAAGAGGGAAAAGTTTTGACCTGCAGTAATATGGCAGAGTCAAGATCTAACCTAGACTACCCGCAGTGGCTTGACAGAAATATTGCCACTAGACCAAGGACTATTAAAAGAGGGGGCAGGAAAGAAGAGTTCTATCTTACTGCCACAGAAGTAAAAGAAAAAAATCAGAATATTTCTTTCTACTTCTGGATAAAGGTAGGACAACAAAGCAGGCTCAATAAGTGTGCACCTCCCAAAAGACTCTTCTCATACACACTGTGAGCACATACATCCAAGTTCTGTTCTAGATAATCATTTAAGTACAGATTCCATCGATTCCCAGTTTTCCACTCCCTTAACATGGCTTCACTACCACACTCCTGCAGTAACAATCATTCAGCTAGATTCCCACTTGGCTGAAACTAGGACTTAAAAAAAAAAAAATAGCACTTCATTTCAGGTATGGCAAATAGAGCACAAAGAAATAACCCCTCTGTGTTGGCCAGGAAATCAAGCTGCTTGTGTTAGAGGATCAGATTAGCTGTAAAACAGTTATTAGGAAAGTTTTTAAGCCACTAAAACATGCAATAAAATAAGTCGGCATAAGCCAAGATGCACTAGAGTTAAATTTTGATCCCATATAGTGAGTGCAGAACAGCTTCTCAGCTCAGGAGATGGGTTACTCAAACAGGGTTGGCCAGCCTGTGGCACAGGTACCACAAGTGGCAAAGGCAGCCTCTGTATACACAGCATACAGCTGATTGTGGAGGGGGCAAACAAAGTAGCACAAGGGGAATAGCAAAAAGAAATCTGAACATCAGATCAGTTAGGGAAAGGGAACTGAAGTGGCACTTGAGCAGGGTATGGGGCCAGTTTGTGACATGCCTACCAAAAATGGTTGCCCCCTACTGCTCCAAAATCAGCAGTTCTTTTGTGGCATTAAAGAGATCAACTTTAATGCATGTAATCAGTTTCTGTAGCCAGAACAGCTGATTTCATAGTTTTAAAGGCTGAAGTAACAATCTATAGTTGAGACTAGTCATGAATGGTTTTTCCATTTAGCCTCAAAATTACACACTTACAGTCTGCATGGCTTGAAATGGAGCTGCAGTTATTGTAACAGAACTGCTGCTTGTGGGAGGAGACTGAAAGGTTTGCCCCTGTGGTACTGGTGACATGGAGGTGCTTGAAGTAGGCAATGGTGACTGCGATTCACTTGACAGAGGAATAGTTGCCTGAGAGAAAAAAATATGAAATGAAGGTCACTTGATAGTTATCAGGCAGTAACAGAAGCAGTTCATTTGCTGCAAAGCCTAGACTGTCAGAAGTCAGCAGTTTCTGCAGGATGACATTTGGACATAGCAAAGCAACAAAATAGCTTTTGCTTACAATTTCAAATCTTGCTGTGCATCCTCAGCAATCAGTACTTCTATTGCAGTCTCTGCTGACTAAGTGAAAGTGCATCTATGGACTACTAGGCATATACCACCCATTGTAATAATTTCATAGTAAAGAAACAAAAAAAAGTTTTGCCACAACTGAAACTTCACACTGATATAGTTTCTCAGAGCTCCAAGTATGCCATAAACTGGAGGAAAAAAGGTTCCTTAATCTAAAGTGGCTATCTGTAAAGTAAATTCTACTCCTACCCAAGAGATGCACCTCTCAAGTGGTCTGCATTACAGCATAGATTAATGATAGCTCACTGAAGCCTTGGTATTTGTAGCTACAAAATCTTTAAGCCTTGTTTTTGTCAATTCAGCATTAAAAAGTTACAGAAGAATGGTTAGCAGTACTATTAACACAGAGGAGGGTAGAACATGAGCACAAGGAAGTTGAGGGTTTGCAGCCATTTGAAAGGCATTATAGTAGCCAAGTATAATATAATATATTTAGCTTACAGAATAATTTAGACATTATGCTGTGTCATTTATTGATGCTACCTGAATTATTCTAACTAAGGTAATCTTAATGAAGTGTATCCGTTTCTCATGTTTTAGTTTACCTGCGTAATTTCCATTTTTTGGGGAATCAGTGGCTCAGAGATATGTGAATTTGTCTGATACAGTGGCTGAGGTGAAGTATATTTCTCAGTCTCTTGAGAAAGGGGTACCGATGTCTGAAAAAGTAGAAGAGCCAGTTTTAATATTAAATTCTGTTACTGAACAAATGCTGCAAAGAACAGTGAAGTTTAGCTTGGGAAAAAAAAAAGTTAGGATGCAGTTAGGGCTCAATGGTAAGCAAGTCAGGCTTTGTTACATCTGCATCCAAGCAGATATTGTAGGTACAAAAGACAGCCCTTCCATAAGATGACAACTTGGAGTTAAAACTTTAGCAGGGAATTTGTTTGGGATGTTTCATTACCAGTATATTCCTCAGAACACAGAACCACAGACTGGATTTGTTTGGAAAATTTTAGTCAAGATTGACTAAAACTAGATTTCAGGTCTTAAGACTTTTCAGAAGTTGCAACACTCATACTTTGGAGCATGGACTTACCTTGGCAAGGGTGCCTTCATGTTAGATTGTGATTTCTCACTGTGTCAAGTCTTTGGAAGTAGTTTCAACTCAAGTTACTCGACTACAGTAGCTAAAATCTGGTAGTAACATTCTTACTGCTCTCACATAGCACTTTAGATTGGTGCAAGTACAGTTTCATCTTGTCTTAGACTATTACCTCCTCCCTCCCTGCTATTCTGGGTCAGAATAGGGCTAGGCACCCAAAACTGTTTTTCTCCATGCCATCAATAGCATCCCTACTGGTATCCAGGTGAAGTAGAGGAAGCAAAGCTTGTTTGAAAAGATAAGAGGACAACAGATAAATCACGCATAAGCAATCTTATATCATAAGTATTCCTTACTTTGTAATCTTAAACAATTACATTGAACACATTAGAACCATGTGACAGAACTCAGCAGTACATGTAAACAAAGCAAAAACTACTTATCTTCTCTTAGGTTGAGAGGTTGAAATGTTTGTAGTTTTGGATATGCACAAAGCTATGAAGACACCAAGATCAAGAACAAGGTAGTCTAGATAAGTGGGGGCCAAATTTTTTGGCTGGTGTGCTACAAAGTTGGCCCAGCACCCTCTAAGTGCCACTTAAAACCTTTCCCTGCCCAGTGGGCTGCTTTCTGCTCCCTACCCTATCCCATTCATCTGCTGTGTGCCACACAGGTTGCCTGTACCACTTGCAGCACACATACTACTGGGGTAGTCACCCATGACCTACACTGTTTGGGGGGGGGGGAAATAAAAGGCCCAGTATTTTAAGAGTTCCCAACTTGAGATTGTAGCTTAGCAATGAGGAGTGAATAATTCTAGTACACTATATTTAAATCATGCATTGTTCCCAATCAAATCATTCAGTAACTGTACTATGATTAATCTGTTGTAGCAACTGCCATCAAACCAAGTGCTCAACAGCATAACAAAAAAGGACTTTTGCTTTCTAGAATGTGTTATTAGAGCAAGCAATTTCCAAGATGAGCTATTAGATGGTACCATCTGCAGAAACCTGAACTGAAAACAGTACACCAGCACTAACACCTACAATTGACCGATGAGCCCATGGCCACAAGAAGTTAAGAGAATTTACCTCCCTGTGTAATATTTCATCTTTTACCCCAGCAGTGGCAAGGATACATACTGCAGGCTGGATCCATTCTGCCCACATACCTCCAGCTTTGTGCTGTATGGAGCCTATCTGGCTCAGGCTGCACACAGCACAGGAGCTAGTGTAGGTGCTGCATGCAGCATGCAAGACCAGTATGGTGCATGTGCTGCAAATGGTGCCTGCCCCAGGAAGCCCTGAACACTCAATCTGGGGCCAATCCAGATCAGATTGGCCCAAGAGCCTAGTTGCAGAGGCTGGATCCAGCATACAGGGCTTGTCCGGCATGGGCGCCACATGCCCCTTGCACCCTGACCCTGCTGGGACTGGCACCTACTGCAGGTGGCATGTGGGGCTGGAGTCTGGGCATGCAGCACTGGTCACCACATGCAGTGCATGCCTTATGTCAGACAGGCCTTGTGCACTGGATCCAGGCCTGGTCCAGGTGAGATGGACCCACAGACCAGCCCTGCATGCCAGAACCAGCATGCAGGGCTGGTCCAGCACAGGCTCCACATACAGCTTGCATCTCAAACTGGCTCTGCATGCTGTGCATAATAGCACAAGCCCCAGACTGACCCCATGCACAGGGTCAGGGCCAGAACATGCTGCATGAGCTGAGACTGGTGTAAGCATGCTGCAAGCAGCATACAGGGTGGTACACAGTGCAAGCTGCATGCCATATGTAAGCTGGACCAGGCCTGTAGGTTCATTCTGGAATGCGGGGCGAGTCTGTGGGCCCAACCTGGCCTGCAGACTGTCCCCACAGGGCCAGATGAGTTAATGCCACTTTTATCCAAAAGAAAAAGGAGGAATTCTTTGGAGTTCCCCCTATACTTTCACTAGTTATTAAGCAGATAACTGACAATTTCTCCAAACATCAGAAAAGGTAATAACTAAATAGAATTAACTGACAAGCAATTGTATAACCATATGTAACAAACTGGGAGAAGGCTGGAAAACACCACAATATTTCCAGGTTTTAAAAACAGTCTCTTGGGGTTGCTTCCCTTTTAGTATTGTGGAGTGCTTGTACAGCAACAGTTTAATTGAATGCAAACTTCCTTACAGCCCACTGAGGTGAGTAATGGTTTACCAGGTCTCTGCTTTACCAAGGAGGCCTGGATCATTAGGTCCGTTTTGCTGAATGAAAGACTCGACAGAAAAAAAGGAAACGCCAAAGTGTCAAACAAAATCTTTTCCTTTAGTTAAAGCAGCTTGCTGCAAACTGTTTAGAGGCAGCCCCTCCAGAAAAGACTGCTACCACACAGGACCCTCAAAACCAGCAGAACTGCAAAAAAAAAAAAAAGAAATAAAGTAAGCAGCTTAGTTTTTTTGTGTTTTTTACCTGAGTTGTCTGTGGCATCACTAGATCTTCTGTTTCAGAGCCAGACAGAGTCTGATCAGCTGATGCTAAGGAAGTATTTGAACCATGCAGCATTATGGGAGAAGCAGCAGTCTGAAAGGAAAGGAACTAAAGCTTACTCATATTTAGTAGTTTTTGGAAGATGTACTGGCATCTTAGACTATTGCCTAATAAACTACTAATTAAACTATTTAGTAGTTTTTGGAAGGTCTACTGGTTTCACTTCACTATTCATTTTATGTACCTTGGTAATTAGATATAGGTAAAATACTTGCCCATCAGTTTTAGTTTTTTGAAAATGGGGCACCTAAAAAAAAAAAACAAAGACCTCATTGTTCTTGGATTTATTTTAAATGAGGCAAGAAGTTTTAAAATTAGAACAGTTCTTTAAAGTGGCAGGTCCTGAACATACCTAAGATTTTCTTCCTTAAAAGAAAACTAGGATGTCTGTATATTCAACACTGTAGGCAGTCATGCTCATTGCATCTCTAGACTATTGGCAATTTAAATTGACCGGGTGTTTGTTTCTGTGTAGATTAACATGGACAAGTTGGATCAGGACTTAATTTATTAATACTTCTGCTACCATACTTCAAAAATAACAGGTCATATGCAAGCTTGCCAATGTTTAATTTTCACTTATCTAATCTGATAAGTAAAAGACTAAAGACAATTTATAGTGTTTTCATTATATGGGGTATTAAGTACATGGGTTTCACAACTAGTACAGGCTCTGTAAAGCAAACTCCTACAAGTTCTAGAACGCTTTAAAAGTTTGTTCTCTCACAGAACTGTTTTGACACTTCAGCCAAGATTCTTTAGTCATTTCTGATATCATGACAAGCAAGTCTCACACAAGTCGCTACTCCATTTCTACAGCTGAATCTTTAAGTTTACCTGAAGCGGCTGTTGAAGAAAGTCATTTTGACTCAGCAGTTTTTGTTCTTTAGAAGCTATAGAAGAGAATAAAGAATAAAGGAGCATTTGCTTTAAGTTCAAAACAAACAGTACTAAATAGAAATCATTTATGCTGAAAATTAAGTGTTTCAATATTGGCACTGCTCTTATTTTATACAAGAAACATACCGCTTCTGAGTTGGTTACAACTGCATTAAACCAGCCACATTTAGTAAACAGTTACATGTAATAAAATTAAAGATAAATCAAAAAGGCTTTACAAAACAAGTTCCCATATGAAAAACCCTGGTTCAGTAAGAAACTTCAAAAGATCCAAGACATTTACTCAAATTCAGAAGTTAACTATAATAAACATTTTTACTTCCAATGCTCGTCTCTAGAATGCTTCCAAGGCAGAGGCAGACTCATGAACAAACACTCCTGAGAGAGTTGGTCTTGAAAGCAATCTGATTATAAGAGAAGTTTACATCAGGTTGTGGAAACAGGAGTTTTGCTACATGTATTGCTCATTTTAAAAAGAACGATGTTGGTAGCATTCAGAACCACACTGGGCAGACAGCACTTTTGCTTTTAATCAGAAAAAAAAAGCCAAGTAAAATGCTCAAGTATACTCCTGCCAGGGAAAATTATACAATTTAAGTAGCTCGCTGTGTTTTACTCATTTACTTAAGTTTAAGTTTGTAAATCTAAAGTAAGTTGCATAGTGGCCTAGCTGTGCAAACATGCATATGCACAGGCAGTGTGAGCCAAAGCAGATATTTAATAGCCACTAAGGGCAAAATTGTTTTACACAGATTAGGGTTTAATATTGTGTCACAGGATGGGGTCCCCAGGGTTGGCCATGATACCCCTAGGGCTCCTGACTCTGCCAATCCTGTCCTTCTCTCAGCTGCCACATCTTGTTGTACTATAATAAATAGAGAGGCTGCCCCCTAGTTTGTATTTTTAGACACAGTCCTGATGGACCCCACTGAGCCCTGTGGGTTCATGAACCCCTTTGGGTCCCACTCCAAAATGGATGCCTGTTGGGACACCCTCAGCCTTATGGGCTAGATGCGTGGCTCCAAACCACCCCTTTACCATGCCTCAAGCCTTGCAGATGACATTCACACATTGTCCCTACAAGGCCTTAGTTCACCTTGGCGTCTAGTTATCACCAGGCTCTCTGCAGCCCTCTCTCTTTCTCGGTGCCCCCTGGCACTGGGGTCCGCTCACCCCCGAATACTGCGCCTACACTGGTGCTGGGGTTCCCACACTGTAGTGGGCCCCCAATGAGGCCTCCTCCTTCCCCAAAAGCCTCAGCCCGATCCTGCGGTGTTAGACAGCAACCAAAATATGAGCCCCTGGGCTATAACATAACAAAAAAGTTCAGGGTGTGCTCTGCCCCATTAAAAACCAGAGTCAAACTTCTTCCCTGGCACCAAGCACCTAGTAGGCAAGGGTACCTGGTGAGCTCCTGGATTCCCATTAACCGTAAATGCAGCATCTCTGGGGAATTCCTCTCTGGAGGCTCCTCCCTCTTTGGCTGCTGGCAGGGAACTGCCTCACTAGTCCCAGCCCCTGGGGTTTATGTGGCCAGGGCCCTGCCTCTTCTGGTCAGCTGACTGGCAGCAAGTGCAGGCCAATTCCCTCCTTAGACCTGCTGCCACAGTAACCTGCACCTGTGGGGTTATTGCCTGACTTGCTAGGGCTCTCTCCCTAGGCAGTTTCAGCCCTTAAAAGGAGCAAGCACCTTAGTGCCCTGCAACATATTGATTAAAATATTAGTAAACAACACTGGTAAGAATATGGAAATAAGCAATCGGAGGGAGGTGGTACATTTCTAACATTTGATTGGGGGGGGGGGGGAGAATTACTTGTACTATTAGTATTAGGAGGACCCTCAAGTTTCTTCCATCTTCCTCAAGATAAATTAAAATGTTTCAGTTCAGGAAGTTACATACCTACAGGACTACCTGCTGGAGAAACTGAAGGTGGCTGTGATGAAACAATGGCACTTGGTGAAGCTTTATCAAAATCCAGAATGGACTCCTTAAAATAAATAAATAAATAAATAAATAAAAATACAACCAAACAAGTCATTGCAGAGGGAGAAAAAGATCTTGGAATTATTATTGATGCCAAAATGAACATGGGCCGACAGTGTGGGGACGTGGTCAGAAAGACCAACCACACCTTGTCATGCATCCACAGATGCATCTCGAGCAGGTCCAAGGAGGTGATCCTCCCCCTGTATGCAACACTGGTCAGGCCGCAGTTGGAGTACTGCATCCAGTTCTGGGCGCCACGCTTCAGGAGGGATGTGGACACCATTGAGGGGTTTCAGAGGAGGGCCACCCGCATGATCAGGGGGCAGCAAGGCAGGCCCTACAAGGAGAGGCTGAGGGACCTGAACCTGTTCAGCCTCCACAAGAGAAGGCTGAGGGGGGATCTAGTGGCCTGTTACAAACTAGTCAGAGGGGACTAGCAGGTATTGGGGGAGTCCCTGTTCCCCCGAGCACTACCAGGAGCGACTAGAAATAACGGTCACAAGCTGGCAGAGGGCAGATTCAGACTAGACATCAGGAGGCGCTACTTCACAGTCAGGGCAGCTAGGATCTGGAAACAACTTCCAAGCAAAGTGGTGCTGGCTCCTACCCTGGGGGTCTTTAAGAGGAGGTTAGACGAACACCTAGCTGGGGACGTTTGACCCCCAGTACTTTTTCCTGCCATGGTAAGGGTTCGGACTGGATGATCTGCTCAGGTCCCTTCCGACCCTACCATATATGAAACAAGCTAGCAGACAAAATTCAAATTGGTTACATGGCAAGAGATAAATAAGCAAATCTGCACAGATTATAAAGTATCTTGCCATTGGCCATTAGTTACTTCAAAATTTCCATTCCTTTACAATTCAACAGTTTTGTTGCTACAGTGTTCCGCATTACCACAAAAAGGAATCCAATGTTCCTATAGTAACAGAAGACATACTTGCATGAAGTTGTATGTCCCTTGTATCTGAGTCATCAGATCCTGCAGTTTTTCCCTCCTTAGTACTGGATCCTTTGGAAGAGTAGATGTAGAACAAAATTCTGCAGCTGGCTGATGTACAGGTTTAGGCACCTAATGTGAGAAAGAGGATATGAAGACAAATACAACCTGATTCCAAAACATATGTAAAGAATCAAATACCAGAAATTAAAAGACTGCTATGTTTTTGGCATTTCCCCAAGTCAAAGTGAAAAGTGCAAACTGTCACTTTATTCATCTATTCATCAAGATCAGTTTACTGTTGTCATTTGATTAGTTAATCTGGTGCCTTGAATTAGTTTCATCTTTACCTTAATCAGCTAAATTAGTTCATACAACAGTTAAGACCATTATAAAACTAGCTCTAAAATTTGAGTGGCACTAGCTAAAAAGGCTTTCCAATACAAGTTAAAAAGGTTTAAGTGTCAAGACACCTTAAAACCAAGCTGTGCAAGCCCTTAAGGTTCCCAAAGCATACTTCTCCCTAGATGAATTACAATTGAGCCAACGTGTTCTGGTTTTTGGGAAATGACATTCCAGATGTTTTCAAGAAATAACAGCTATAAGAGTTGCAACCAAGGTTACTCAGCATTAGATTTAAGAATTTGTCTGCTGAAGCTTGATACTGCAAAAGTATAGCACATCCTGCAAAAAAAAGGATGCATTAGCACAAGTTACTTGGAGCTGGGCATAAAACATTCAGCCTTTGAATGGGTCTCAGGTGTGTCATGTACTCTTACAACATCATGCCTCTTTCCTAAAGTGACAATTCTTCCTCAAAAATAAAGGAAAAAAATTGAGAGAATAAGTAATCAGAAAGTCTTCCTGAAGATTCAGGGCATAGAACACATTACATAAGTAACCAAGAGCCCTGCTACTTGGAATTTTTTTAATTGAAAATTGAAGGAAACACTTATTAGTGCAGATGTAGACAACTTAACACCTTTTGTTCAAAAGATTCATTATCAAAAAGATGTCAGAGAAATTGAGTAGGTCTTATGAGCTTGATCTCTTCTAGCCAGGGGACTGGATAGATGGAACAAGGGCCCCTAAAGTTCCAGGTACAAGTCATTAGGCTTTATCACCATAACTTTAATAGCTCAACATACAAGTGCAAAACTTTGGAAATCAGCTACAAACCTTAGAGTTGCTTCATATTTTTTCCAAATGCAGAGACAGTCTTGGAATACCCTTGTGAAGATGCATGTTTGCTTCTCCCCTCCCACCAACAGTCTCAGAAAACTAAGAGAAGTACTAGTTATTTATATAAGAAGAGGAAAACTGAGCAAAAAGTTATTGCATGATGCAATGCCAAAACTATATTGTTGTTTTTTTTAATAGAAATTCTCATTTCAACTTTACTACATTATAAAAATGTGTTTATCAATCTGTTCCTGTTGTATAAGAAGACTTTCATTTGCCCAACTCCTGATCATCCAATTGTATACACAATTAATAAAGAGATTCTGCCACAGTAATCATGCTGGGAGTTTTAACTTAGTAGCTATACTTACCTGTCCCTCAGCCAGCATTCATAGGAAATGATGCACAGCTTTGGACTCCATGTGGACACAACTGAGGCACACATGACCAACCATGCCTTATCATCATGCTAGCTCCGTTTCTTCCCAAACTCAGAGCCATCCTTTGTGGGCTGCAACAACTCCCATTGAATGGTTTTCCCCACTGTTCTTGTAGGTCACTAACCCTCCACCTCATTTACTTAAGCCTGTTTTGCATTTATGAAGGAAGGAATTCTCTGACCAAAAGTATGCATACAGAGAGGGAATCCTCTCTCCCAAGGTTATACAAGATGCAGGGTTTGAGGGCATAAAAAGGCTCAAGTAGTAGTGTATTTAGTATGTCATCTCGAGTTCTTTGCAAAGAAAAAGAGGTTATTTCTAGATGTTAGACAACTTTGTTTATTACAACTAGTGCAATGTTGCTATTCAAAGTCATCGATAAAGTCTCAAGTCCTTAAGGGTTAGTACATGAATATTAACTCTGATTTCCAGAAGTGCTGCACATCTAGAACTGGAGTCCAAGTTATTTGCAACAGAGAAGCTCAACATCTCAAATGACTTACAAGAGTCCTGATGAAAACTTTACACTGACTGAGGAGGCAAACAAGTTTTAGTCAACTCATCTCTCTACAGTAATGCTGATGCAGGGGAGCTGGGCCAAAAAACAGTCAGCAGAATGATTATTCGCGTTTCATATTGTGTTCCTTTGTTCCACAACTCTAAAGTTTTGAGAATAAGGCAGTTAAGTTTGCCTCCATCTTGTTGGAGAGGTTTACATATCCCGACAAAGGCTACAAGACCTACATGAACTACAAGTTGTTATAGTTTTAAGTAGAAAATCTGAAAAAGAACACCAAACACAATTTCAATTACTTTGTTCACTATTTCAGGACTCCAAAATTCATGACAGCTGGAAAAAGCCAATTTGGATAATAGCTGCTTTTAGCACCCAAAGGCAAACTGGGACAGGAAGAACAAATGTACAATATCAGTGTAGAGAGGCAGTTAGTATTAAGTTGAAGTCAGGCAAAAGGCAGGGCAGATCTGCACCTTATAGATTAAGTCAGAGATGAATAATATCTGACATACAGCATGAGCTATACAGGTTAATCTTGTACTAAAATTTTACTCCCAGCATTTTAGTAACATTTCTTGCACTACAAAATTGAACTGAAGAGAAGAAAAGAATTCTTTAAGTCTAGCTCAAGTTTCTGCATATTATAGCCTTATTGCCAGCATTAAAAAAAAAAAAAACAGCTCATCTTTGCTTCTAGATTGTATATTCTGCCAGAGGACGACTTCCTACAAAACAGGATTCTTTGGTCTCAAGTCCCATACAGTTATGACAATTTTACTGTCAAGTCAAATAGCAAGAGACATTGCAAAATTCTACATGGTTGCACGGTTTGCACCTTAAGAAACAAAGGTTATATGCATAGTTCAGAATTGGATACCGCTTTGACTTTTCCTATAAACAGTTTCAGAAACTATCCACTCACTGTATTCAAACATATAGGATAATTCACTCCAAAAGGGGAAGTATGGCAGAACGGTTTATAGGATCCTAAAGCACCCCAATTTGTCCATCTGCCACAAAACCAAATTAAGCTGTGCATATTCGTTAGAGAAAAGTAACATGGTTAGTAAAAGCAAAAGTAGGACTTTAACTGTTCAGTGTATTCAAAAGTTCAAACTGTTACACATTGGTGGATACTTCTGAAGAGGCCTCAGCTTGTACAGATACCTCCTCATCTTTACAAGTTGTCCGAATAGTTTAGTTTAAACTTGAAAAATGAGGACAGGGCACAAGGGTAATGTAGTTATGGTAACAGCTTTTGACAGACAGCCTCCTCAGGGCCACTCTGAACTTGTACATTCTTTCAGGAGTTCACCTGAAGAATACAACAACCAGCAAACTTCTAGCTCTATACCCTAATTGGGCTGCTGCAAGCAGGACTTTCACTGCAGGACCTCTGAAGATTTTCACTATAAAAACGAGAGCTGTATGTGGGTAGCTATGATATTTTTTTTAAGTTCAGATCTAAAACAGGGCTACTAATCCAAACAAACACGAGGCCAAGCATTAAGACTTAGGAGGTCTCCAAAATTTAGATTTCCATTCTGAAAGTACAGCCTGATCAGTTTGCAGCCCCAAACCTAAACCTGAGCTTGCAAAAACATATGGTTTCCTCAATTCGTCCTCCTGATTGGTAGGAGACCTCAGAAACAACTGGCAGAGACATCATACGAATAAATGCACAACAAAAAAAGAATTAAATCAAGTAGCTTTTAAACTCCTTTAGTAAGCCACTTTACAAAAAACGCATTAAAATGCACAGAACACATGCCAGTAGCACTCAAAATAGTTGATATGGAATACAAAAGCCTATCACCTTTCCTTTTTTTTTTTTTAATTTCTAGTAGAAGTTGATAGAAGGTATTAAGTAACCCCCAGAGAAGTCTGATTTTGTTTTTAACAGCCATTTTGTAGGCTTAGTTTGCTGGGCAGTCACCTATAATAGTTAGAACCAACATAACCTCAAGGGGCCCAAAGCTGAACACGGAGATAATCTACCATCTTCCTTTAGAAAAGAGTTATTTAAGCACGCTGGCAAATGCACACCAAATGGCTTGCACTGCAGATTATGCATTTCATCACTTCCTCCACAGTATAAAGTTTGGCTCTGTAGAAGCGTGCAAAACTGGTAGGGATTGTAACCATTTTTTACTTTGTTTGCAACTAGAAACCACTTCTGATAGTCTTGCTTTGAGGACCAACTAGTAGGTTCAGTCAGAAGTCAGAGGGTTTTTTTGCCCACACCATACAAAACAACTTGGTACTAATGTTAAAACAGTGAGTTGAGAATGGTATCAGCCACACACTATTTTATAGTTCGTATACAGTGATGGAAACTGAAGTTTAGAAAATTGTGCTGAGAGGACTGAGGTCTTTAAATAGCAATACCATGAAGCTAGAATGAATTTTGCTATAAGTGTGCTTTGAAGTGTCCAAAAAATCTTTGCACCAAAAATGGGATGCGAGAAACTATACCACATAGCTAAGTTACCCTAAGCAGGTCAATACTGTGTACAAGACTCTGCAGCAAGGCACCCTAATGCAGCAAATGGAATATATCCAATTGCTTTATACAAGAAATTTGGCTTATGTTAGTTTGAGTTGGCCAATTAGCACACCTGCACACTGCTTTGGAGACTCCTAGGCAGTTTACAACTTTCTCCGACAGAGACCTCCTTTTTTCTTACTGCATCAAAGCCTTGTCCATCACTTAATTCATCTGCTTTTCCATCCTATGGAAAATAAGAGGCCCATCTCATTAGAAAACAAATCTCAAAAATGCAAGTTCTAGAAATGAATCCAACACCAGAAATTCTAGTGTCTTTAAAAAAAGGCATAGTAATTCAGACTGAGTACTTTGGACATTGCTATAGTGAACCTCATGCAGTTTAGTACTTAACTTGGAATGGTAGAAAATTTAGACTTGCCACCACTACCACCACCAGTGCAAACAAGCAACACCCTCCCCCCGTTCTATTTAGACATGCTAGTCAAGTGTTTCAAAAGTTATACCAGCCTTATTATCTAAATAACCTTACTCCCATTTTGGTCACCCAGTGTTTTACGTTACCCACTTGTTTTACTTCAAGTTCAGCTTTCTGTCTGCGTTCCCGTCTCTAGATACAAGAATTAACCACTCTGATGGTGAACCAGCTTTGACCAATGAGATCAATGTAAATTACATTTAACAAATATACAAAACAAGATTTGTTTTGATGGAAGCTCTGAACAGAAATGACAGTTTCTGACAACCTCTGCATAAAGTAGAGCTACTGCAGCTGTTCTCCATTTTCTTCCAAGACTAGTTTAAACCTAAATACCACTCTGCATTCTTTTCTGGATGGTGCGCTTCAAGTGTCAACATTTTCCCATGGTATTAAAACCTGCTACTTTCGTACATGGACAAAGAGTAAAGCACAAGACAAAAAAAAACTTGCCTGTCACTGGTCCTGCAATGGCTTGCATTGTCTACATCTCTAAAAATAAGCTATTGTTAGCAGAATTGCCAAAACTTTCCAGAACAGCTTATAGTATATGAATTCATCTGGAAATGTACATTTAAAACAAGATTATAGTTGGTGCTGCTTGATCTAGAAGTTAAATACCTATAGATGCAAGGTTAAATCAAGTTTAAGTATAGTTAATATACATGTAAACACAGACAACCCAAGAACTTGATCCCTGGGCCATACCCATTTTGTGGAACTGCAATGCACATTTAGATTTTGCTCTTCCAAAGCTAACTGACTATTTTAACTTATGTATAAGTGCATATCCTATGAAGCCAAGCAGCAGCATTACTGTATTAAATACAAGAGGCAGAAAACGCCATCTTGGTTTTTTCAGATGCATGAAGATTTCTAATTCTGGCAGTTAAGTCAGACATGTAATTCAAGCAAGAGTGACATGGAAATCTAAAATGTAGAACTATACAATGCAGCTTACAACGCTTCCAACTAACACATGATTTAGCCTGATATACTAGCATCAAAAGCTTAATGCCAACTCACTTCTTTGGGTTCCACATCAAACTTCTTAGGCCCAATCTGGTCCTTTGGTACAACACTTGCAGCTCCCAGGGACTTCAGAGGATTCTGTAACTGCTGTAATTCTTGTTGCTGTCGGTCAGCAGTTTCCCAAGCCTTTGGAGGCTCTTGCTTCTGCCCCGACTCCTCCCTGTTATGTGGAGGAGCCCATGACTTTGGCAGCTCCTGCTTCTTCTGCTCTGGCACCTCTTTGGCACGTGGAGGAGCCCAGGGCTTCGATGGCTCCTGCTTCTGCTCTGGCACCTCTCTGGCATGTGGAGGAACCCAAGGCTTTGGCAGCTCTTGCTTTTTCTGCTCTGACTCCTCCCTGGCACGTGGAGCAGCCCAGGGCTTTGGCAGCTCCTGCTTTTTCTGCTCTGGCTCCTCCTTGGCACGTGGAGCAGCCCAGGGCTTTGAGGGCTCTTGCTTCTGCTCTGGTTCCTCCCTGGTTTGGGATCCCCAAGGTTTTGGCAATTCCTGCTTTTGTTCTGGCCCTTCTTTAACTTTTGTTACCCAAGCCTTGGGGGGTTCTTGTTTCTTCTGTTCCTGTTCATCCCTAGCCTTTGCTACCCAAGGCTTGGGAGATTCCGGTTTCTTCTGTTCCTGCTGTTCCCTAACTCTTGCTACCCATGGTTTAGATGAATCCTGCTCCTCCCTAGCATGTGTTACCCAAGGCTTTGGAGTCTCCTGCTGCTTCTGTTTTTCTTCTTCTTCCCTAACACAGGTTTCCCAGGACTTTGAAGGTTTCTCTTCCTCCACAACACAAGATTCCCAAGGTTTTAAAGACTCCCGATTCTGTTCCTGCTCCTCTATGTCAAGCAGCATTTCCCAGGATTTTGGAGGTTCTTTCTTTCTAGCATACTCTGCTTCCCGGGGTTTGGATTCTTCTGGCTTCTTCTTGATAGAGCATTCTGCTTCAGGCAAATAGCGCCTGTTGAGAAACTATATAGACCAAACAAACTTAATGCCTCCCAGGAAAAACATTTTGCTACTACAGTTCAGGTCAATTTGCAAGTTAGGTCACTCAAGCAGAAATAAAATACTTTCTGACCAAAACAAAGAACCTATGCAGGTACTTTACTTCTACCTCTGTTATCCTCCAACTAGAAAGCCAGTGTTCTATCCTATAGAAATATGGTCACTGAATAGTTCCTCTCCTGAGAAAGTTGCAGGAGAGTGCCACAACAGAAATGGAAATAAAAAGCCACAAAACCATCTAGAAGCACAGCTTGCCTAAAATGAGTAACCATGTAATCTTATGGTGTCAACTCTAGTCTCGCCTTACTATGTACCTTTTGCTATGTTAGCCACAATTATCATGTACAATTTTTATGATTTCTTCAGGAAATAACCTGATCTCTTTATTTTGGGAACTATTAATACAATTTCCTTTAAATGAGAAAGGAAAGTATTGATTTCTTTGTTGTTTCTTTGAACTTAGGAAAAATATTAGGCAAGCATAGCTCTTCCTGTTCTTCTCAGGAGTTTTAAACCTAGCAAGTAACCAGATGGACTACAGTTAAACATCCAGAACAAGTCTCCAATAAAAATTAGTGCTTAAGCATGAGCTAGGATTTAAAATAACCCCCAAGCAACATTCAGATTTGAGATTTCTAGGCCACTGCAGGCAGACAGTAGTGAAAAATCTCTCCACTTCCAGATCTTAACTACTTAGCTCTTAAATTCTTTGCTGGTACTAGTTAAACCAAACTTTTTGGTTGGACAGTTTTTAGACCAGTGGTTCTCAGCCTTTTTAGACTCTGAGAACCCTTTGTTCTTGTTGAATGCCTATTGTTCAGCTCAAGGCAACCCTCAGTGTCAGCTCTTACTTTTCATTCCTTTTGACTACAGAAAAAGAATTCTGTTGCAAAGAACTCAGAAAGAGAACAGATCAGAATGTTTTTTTAAACACTAAGAATTCCTAGTTGAAATCTATTTATACTGCAAATCATTTGCGTGCCCAATAGTACTATATATAACAAGGCACCTCACAGCACCTTTGAAAGGATCCCAAGGCACCCTAGTTGAGAATCACTGATCTAGACAGTGCTTGATTAGTACATTAGCAGAGTCTGCTTTGCTCTGCTCCCTCTGGTGGGATATTTGGGAACTGAGATACAACTGTGAGAGCTCTGACATTTTACCCAGAAAACCTTTATAAAAAAAATAATTACAAAAAAGGTTTCTGCTTTAGGGCACTGCAAGTTCATAAAGATTTATGTTACTCCAGTCCCAAACAGGAGTACGGACGTCTGAAATCTAAGGTCAGTTGAAACAAGCTAATTGGATTATATATAGCATCATGTACCTACTACTACCTAGAAATCCTGACTTTCATGTGACAAATGAAGCTCAATAGAAAACCATTCAAAGTTCAGATCTGTAGATGAAGTGACAGCTTTATTTGTAAGTGTACTTTATCTGACAATACAGCTTCTGTATTATCTGACAAAACAGAAAAATTAATATTTTGGAAAAACAGAACAGAGCCCCAAGGGTCTGAACCTACAAAAGCAGATGTTTACCATCTTTACCAAGTCTGTTAAAAAAAATAAAGTAGTGTTCCAGTATTACCATTACTTTATATCATAGACACTTCCAACCTACCCCCAAACCCAAGCAGAAAGTACCTACTATATTCTACCTGCATGCCAATATCTTTGCATTAAGAGCTGGAGCTCCAGTTTAGTGTTTCACTCTAGACAGCATGTTTGGTTCTCATTTTAAAAGTCTTGGAAAAAAAATGCACAGGAATAACTGTTACTAATTTTATTCTTCTTGGTAGTTTACTTTGCACACTATATAGTGATTATTTAGAGTACACTTGCATCACAGCAAAAATTAAAATTCAGTATCTTACCTCCTGTGGCTGAATCTCAGACTTCATAAGCTCCATTAGACATTCTAGAGAGAAGAATATCTACATTAATAGAAGCAAATTAATGGTGGGACCTTTGATCACCTCAAAATGCCTCAAACTTACTGCCAAGTTGCTTCCATAATTCTTTCAGAGTAAATCTGGGTTAACAAATTCTGCAATCTCATGTTTGACTAAGTGCTCTGATTTTCCAGAGACATTTGCGGAATGTCCAATACAGAAGGCTTACTAATGCAATGCCGATGTGGTACAACTAGAGCTTCCTGAAGATGTTCCCTACAGCTTCAACAATGCAAGGAGTAGTCAAAAAGCACCCAGTCAAGACAGCAGATAGGGTTTTGGTTTTTTTGTTCAACTGGTATTGCTGTTCCTTATCTCTCTCTATTTCCATTTGATTTCAACTATAGAGTTCATTCCTAATGAAGGACTAAAATTTACTTTATCATTTAGCTAAAGTGAGTTGAAATGCATTAGAAGAAAACCCACTACCAAACATCTGATGTTTTCACCTTCCTTCATACTCAGGATTAAGCCTATGCAAATCAAGCTATGAATTGATCATCTGGAGGCTTAAACAAGTGTTACAACATGAAACCTAAAATTTAAACTTTGTTCAACCTGGGTCTTTGGCAGACTCTCTTTTGGACAGTTGTCTTGTTCTCTCAGGTTTTCTCAGTCCTTCCTCTTCCAATTCTTTTAATGGCATTGCACTGTGAGGAGCAGGAACGTTTTCAAAATATCCAGAATCTAAGAGTTTGGATAACAGTTCCTTCAAATGTCCATCTAACAAATTAAAAAAAAAAAGTTATAATATGTACTAGGAAGTTAAAAATTATTAATGAAAAAAGTGTTGTTGGTGTCCCCTTCTCTTAATTTAAAATGAAAACTACCCAAAAAATAATTATGATTAAACACTTCAAGTTAGAGAAGTTACAAAATTTAACCTTTTAACAAAGGTTACCTAGTAAAATGTGTAAGCTGTTACCATTTGACTCAGAGAGGTCCTTTGTAACCAACTATATTCTACATAGGTCTATAGTAGAGGTGCACTGATATACAATATGAACCGATTACTGGCACCAATAAAAGGAAAGTTAACACTTGCAATCTGCTTTTTCTGGCCAATGTGGTCAATAACATCACCGATAAATGGTGTGTGCATACGCACAGCTACAGCATGCATGCAGCCAAGAATGCAGTCCGGCAACTTGGAGAGCAGCATCCAGCTGGTAACTCTGTGAGGGAGGGAGACTGAGGTCCCTACAGTGAGGAAGAGAGTAGGGTTGGGGCAGGCACTGCCCAGCCAGGGCAGGGGGGGGCACAGGATAGAGCTGTGGGCAGCTTGTCAGGGGGATGTGAGGAGGGAGGGCAGCTCCCATCATTACACACACCTCAAAGGCAGCATGGGGGGGGGGCTCATGCCCCCTGGATGTGTGTGTGGGCCAAGGGTGGGCTGCCCACTGCAGGCTGGGGCCAGGGGCTGCTCTGGCCACTTGCCAGAGGGGTGAGCTGTAAGGGGGGCTACAGCCTCCCCAAGATTCACTGCATCCCCTCTAGCCCTCCCTCACAGCACTGCTGCCTGCCTTGCCCCAAGCCCAGCCATGGCCCAGCCCCACTGCCAGCAAGAAGCTAACAGCCCCTGGCCCCAAGCCCACAGCCCACCCTTGCCCCATGCACAAATCTAGGGGGCACATGCCCCCTATGCCTCCCCCAGGGTGCGTGCAGTGGTGGGAGCCACCCCTCGTTCTCTGGACGAGCCACCCACAGCTGTCCTGTGTCCGGCAGTGCCTGCACCTGCTTCAGCCCTACTCCCTCCCTCACCGTGGGATCCTCAATCTGCCCCTACTACGGCCCTTAAACCTCCTCCCCCTGATTTACCAGCTAGATGCTGCTCTCCAAGCTGCCAGGCTGCAAATCAGCAATTGGATTGGTATCGACCAATATGGCTGGTTAATCAGCCATCGCTATCAGCCAAAAAAAAAATCTTTATTAGTGCACCCCTTGTCTATAGACAAGTTATTCTGCAGAGACTGTCCATCTACTATAATAGGGACTTGGACTTAGCTATACAAAGTTAGTGATAGGTTAAATACTGACAATAGCACAACTTGGCTAACTGCAACAATGTGATGGAACCCAAGCTCAAGTTTAAAGTCATAAATAGGAGACCTGGGTGTGGAAGCAAATTAATACCTGCAGTCTATCAACTTTTCCATTATGTAATGGCTAGTACCCAAACCTAGGAAACTCAAGAACAAGACTAACCAAACTAGAAAAGAAACAGCTGGGTAGCAGCTGTCTTGCAACTGTGGCAGGTTGAAACGGATGAGAGACTGGAGATGGTCTCTGGAAGGAAGTTTCATGGAGGAAGGGGTGGGGAGGGAAGAAAAACAAAGAACAGACAAGTGGGAAGGAGGCATTAGTGGAGCCAAAATAGGAACAACTGTCCGTTTCTTTGAATATTAGTTTGGTCACTAGGGTGCAACTAACATTTTGAGATGCTTATATATAAAAATGCTTATATAAAATAAGCATCTCAAAATGTTGGTTGAATATTAGCACGCAAAGATTTAGATCCGTTTTACAGCCTTGGTGTAATAGTGTAAACCCTTACATGGTGCCGTTTTGCTTTGAATTTCCAGGTCTCTGCATGTCAGTAACCCACAGGTGCACTCCAGGCTACGGAACTAAGCTTCTGCTAATATACTCCACTTTTCACAAATAAATTATTCCACACATCCATCCTCTAAGCAATTCCCACAGCATGCATGCATCTCACTGCTGCACCCCAAGTACAGCTCTTAACCCCAACACCTGATGCACAGGAAGGTTGGCAGATCACACAGGATCAGCTAACAGATGGCCTCCCATTTAAGGCATCACAAACTGATTACCTTTGGTCACAGCAACCTTTCTAGGCACCTGGAATGCAACAATGAGCTAGAACATCTGTTTGCTTGCACTGCCATAAAATTTATGGCAGCACAAGGGCAACATCTGTTTGCAGCCCAAGTGTCAAAGAACCTTAAATTGGCAAAAAATTTGGAGTTAAAAATTCCTCCTGATGTACAGGTTTCCTTGCGGCTTAAACCTTTGCAAGACTAGTTGCTGAAGCCATTGGAATTGTACTGTTTAATGTATTATTTGCCAGTATAATCTGGAGACATTTAGTTAGTTGTACACTAGTTCAATTTAACTAGTCTGCCAGTACGTGACACAGGACTGAAAAGTTTAGTTCATCTGAGTTTACAGAAGAGAAGCTTGAGAGAGTCCAGAGAAGAGCCACGCGCATAATCAGAGGTCAAGGAAGCAGACCCTACGATGACAGGCTGAGAGCCCTGGGGCTCTTTAGCCTGAAAAAGCGCAGGCTCAGGGGTGATCTGATGGCCACCTACAAGTTTATCGGGGGGACCACCAGCATCTGGGGGAATGTTTGTTCACCAGAGCGCCCCAAGGGATGACGAGGTCGAATGGTCACAAACTACTTCAAGATCGTTTCAGGCTGGACATAAGGAAGAACTTCTTTACTGTCCGAGCCCCCAAGGTCTGGAACAGCCTGCCACCGGAGGTGGTTCAAGCGCCTTCATTGAACACCTTCAAGATGAAACTGGATGCTTATCTTGCTGGGATCCTATGACCCCAGCTGACTTCCTGCCCTTTGGGCGGGGGGCTGGACTCGATCTTCCGAGGTCCCTTCCAGCCTGGATGTCTATGAAATCTATGAAAGAAGCTGTGGGACTTTGCAGATAAAAAAAAAAGTCAAGTAAAAATACTTCTTTTCCCCATTGATAAGGTCTACAATAGAACTATTAATTTGCCCTAAACTTAATATCCCAGACCAAGTCAAAACCAAAAACCAATGCATTAGTCCTCCAAGACCACAAGTACTCAAGAACTATATGCAGTATGCTGTTAGACCTCCAATTAGCATTGCACACTTCCAAATGATCATAAGTATTTCAGTGTTTACAGGAAGCTTTACATGACAGCCACATAATGGGCTTCATATTTAACCAGAGAAACTTACATGTTGTTCCAACCACAGGCTTTTCACTGCCTTCTAGAAGGTCCCAAAAGTAAAGTGATGATTGCTCCATCTGGTCTTCAACACTTGAAACCAAAGGAAAGACTTCACTAGTAATTTCATTTTAGGCAGAAACATTCACTGTGAAGGCATGCTGCTTCCCAGGACTTTAAAGCAACAAACTTAAGTTACTGACAATTGAAGTTGTCACCAAGGCACTTTTAAACTGCCAGAATCAATTTCTCCTTATGCAGCACCTAGAATAAGTGAGATCCAGAACTATATCTAGATGCTATGGCTATACAAAAGAAAGGACAACAAGAATAGTTCTTTGTACAATTTACTCTAAGATAGCAGCCACAGACTTACCACTACAGAAGTCATAAAGCTGGTGACTTCACCTAGTAGTGTATATTAAGAAGTTGCCCTTTGTGATCTAAGTGTTCAGGCATTAATATTATACCACAGCTAGGACATGAATCCACCAGCAGCAGTTCTAAACTTGAAGCCAAATAAACCCATTCGGAGTTTATTTGGCTTATTTGGAGGCAGGGGGAACACCACATGCATGTGCACATGGCAGCCAAGCAGCAGTGGAGCACAGGTAAGGAGGGGGCACAGGCAATGTGGCAGGGGGGGAGCACGGTAATGTGGTAGGGGGACATGCACCCCGAGATTTCTGCACTCACAGCAAGGCACAGGGGTGCAGCTGGGCCAGACCAACTGCAGGCAGAAGCTGCCTCCACAGCCAAAAGGAAGCGCCATGCCACCATAGCTGCCAAGGTGAGGTTTGGCAGCAGCGTGATGTTGAGACCCTACTGCTGCCAGGCAGACAGGATAGCCATGGCAACACAGAGCTCCCTCTTATGCCAGGTCCTGCCCACCAGGTCACAGAATTCCCAGAGGGAGGGCAGCAGGGCAAGGAGACCTGAGCCCACAGCAGGCAGCACAGATCGTCCCCTCTAGCTGTGCTGTCCATGGCAGAGGGAGAATGGGAACCAGGCTCCCCTCCAGACACAGGTGACAACCGGGGCTTGGCGCTGCTGGGATGGGGGTGCAGGGCCTGTGGGTTGGGAGTGAGGGGTCATGCTGAGGAAAGAGTTTGGGAAGCACTCAGAGGCTTTTTAGAGGCCCTAAAACATCAATCCATTTGTAATAAGGTTCAGCATCACAAGAGACGCATGCACGCACACAAATCCAATCTAGAAATGCAAACAGGATTACAATACATTCCCTGTATCCCATTAACACAGGGGATCAAGTTCATCTAACCCAGTGAGCCAGATGAGTGGTTGGGCTGGTCTACAGGCAAGACAAATGGTGCATGGCCAGTCATGTGGGCCAGATCAGGCCGAGAGACCTGCCCCCAAATCCCACATGCCAGAACCAGCGCACACTGCCTGTGTAAAGGGCTGGTCTGGGACATGTACCAAGTTGTGATAGATGTAGTACACAAAGTGAGGGAAACCTGCATAGTAATCTTCACTCTGTACCCAATCCTGGCAGTGCTTTTCATTAGGCAGGCTGTGTGGCAGTATTCAAAGCAACATTCCACCTCTACTTCAGGAAGAGCAGAGAAGGCACCAAATTCAAAAAATGTTTATTTAAAAGTACCAGGCTCTTTCCTCTGTCTCCTGAACAGCATGCAGTGGTTTCCTGCAGCCAAAAGTACAACTAAGCCTGTGCCCCATTTCTGATATGGGCACTGCCTGCCTAAGGCAGCATGTCTCAACCCATGAGTCGTGACTCAAAAGTGAATTGCAAGAAGATTATGAAAGGGCTGTGAACAAACTTTTTAAAAATGGATCATATTTTGCATACAGTTTTGGAAAAATAATGCTGTTTGTGCTTCACCATACTAATACTGTATATGCTGATAAATAGGGACCTGGGTTTTCCATTTGCGGGGGGGGGGTG